CATAAAACAAACACCCTGTGTTTTAAAAAGGTTTAATATTTGGTGTCAGGGTAAACGGAGACGGTCACGATTCCCATACAAAACATAAGAGCGAAAACCGAATAAAGTAGTAATATTTTTCTCCAATCAACAGCTAATATCAAAATTGTTTATCTGAGATACGTCAATGTCTGTCTTTAGTATTTCATTAAGGAATAAGACTATCCAAGTAAAAAGCCTTTATCCAAGAGATCAACTCCCGCCTCCTTACTGTCTTAAAACGACTGGTATATTTTTTGTAAAATAAATTTCATTATTTTGCCTCATTTTATAATTTACCAGGGCGGCTATGGCAGCTATCAGACATACGGCGGACACGGGGGCGGATACGGTTCTAGCCACAACACCGGATACGGCTCTAGCCACAACACCGGATACGGGTCTAGCCACAACACCGGATACGGCGGTGGACATTCTACAGGATACGGCCGTAGCAACAGCGGATACGGACATCGCAACACCGGATACGGGTATGGCAACAACGGATACGGGCATGGTAACAGCGGATACGGTCGTGTCAACACCGGATACGGCGGAAGTCACGGCAGCGGATACGGTGGCGGGCACAACACCGGATACAGCACACACAACAGTGGCGACGGATATGGCAACAACGACTTTGGATATGTTGGTAAGGTCTAATTTTGTTTAGAAATTGGATTTAGAATGGAATAAGATATTAATTAATTGGAATGAGATATAAACATAAACCTTTTTCAAGGGACTAAACGTGTTTTTCTAATTATTATGATTGGCGTTTCGACCTTTGGGTCAAAGGGTCTTGATTGCATCAGGCAATTCACGTACAACTACCTTCCATCCGGTGTCTTCTCAGCCTTCCCCAGCTGTTGGAGGAAAGACCCCTGTGAGATTTGATTTGATCCAGTAATCTACTTTAATGTTACCACCTCGCCCTTACCTGCTCATACACACCCTTTAACAAACTGGCCCAGCAACAGAGGAGATAATCTTTGGGTTGGGTGTAATCACACAGCCGGTTACCTGGAGTAGGTCTGAGACCAGGTTTAAAATACACAACATTTGTCTTACCTTACGTTACACGGACAAGAACGCGCTGCTCGACACCTAGGCTGCTCCACACTGGGAAATGCAAAGGAAAGTCTAGAAACCCGCCCCGTCTGGTCATTTCAAACTTAACAGAGGTCTTTCCTCAAATTTTGTAACATCTAGAGAAATCAGTGGAAGAGAGTGGCATAAAACCACATGTGTATGTTTTCACGCCAAACCCTGACCCCCCCCACCCCTCCTCCACCCGATCTGCAATGGCAACCTGACGTCCCTAGCGCACTTGGAGATGCTAGTCAGTCATGTGATCAATCCTGATGACGTCTTGATTTATGGGTAGCAAAACACGTGTAGCCCCTTTTCACAATGTATGTGTTAATTGCGCGTGGTCTTCACTGTTCTTTCTTTTTTTTTTGGGGGGGGGGGGTGGATAAGCATATTGCTAGGGGCTCTTGTTATTCTATGAAAATTTAGATGTTTATATCAAAAGCGTGAAAACCACCCCTTCTTTGCCAGATCCTTGCTATGGCAAATACGACGGCGACTACGAACTCTCAGGGTCCTGGACTGGACTATTTTACGGCGCGGATCCACGCTGCTTCTTCGTGAAGTGTTCCAATGGGATCAGCTGGCTTAGCGCGTGCGCAAAGGGTACAACCAATGATGAGCATGGCGCCGGGTTCTGTTACTATCAGGATCACTACGGGATCTGCGGGTATCCGTATCCCAACAAGCAACATTCTGGCAATGCTGGGCACTAGCACAAGCGATGAACACATATATATTGCTACATAGACTGCTTGAACAGACCTATATTGTATTAACGCCAAAATATAAGCGTATAAGCGTTCCTACAGGAAATAAACAATGAATTTAACAATGAGAAAATACTTTGGAGGGACCTGTGTGAAACTGGGAAAACTCAGCAGCAAGAGACCATGAAGGACAGCGTGGCGTATTTATGGAAAACGTGACCAAACATTATGTGCAATGCAGTGAAAGGATCATCTGCCTAGATTGTATTTACGAAATTCCTAAAAAGAAAAAAAAATGCGCGCAATACACCTTTCAGGGATCGCTTTTGTGTACTGCTCAGCTGTCACTCACTGCGCATGCGCGACGTTGTCACCCACGTGGTCTCTTATCTGCTTCCCTTTTCTCAGTTCCAGGCGCCTACTGCAACTACGCCGGGGAGTACCAGCCCATGCCGGGAGACCAGGGGATGTTTATTCAGTGTGACGAGATTTTTCGACCCAGGGCTCAGAAATGCGCCCCAGCGACCAAGTGGTGTCAGGCCTACTTCGTGTGTATCAACCTCTACGACTCCTGTCCGAGTTTCTAGGAGGACTCTCGACCGCCAGATGTCACTGTAGTAGTAGCAACAGACTGTAGATTGGGCGTGTCTTGTGGCAGATGTTTTTGTTTGATTGAGGGTGAGGTCGTTTCATATTGTGACGATTTTTTGTTTTACAAGTGGAGGTGTGTGTCGAAAATTTGTAAGGCGTTAAATCAGACACCAGGTGCAAAGTTCTTAAAGATTCATTCATTTCGTTTTGTAACTTGTGGTCACATTACATGTTTTAATGTAAAAAGAACCTATTTGTCTAAATTGACAGATTGAGTCAAGACTCGATCAACTGTAGGACAAAGATATGGCCGTAAGTTGCAGGACACGTACTTTCTGTGTAAAAAAGCCTCTTGAAAATGAACATTATAAGCTACAATTCACGTCCAGTCCACATTGTACACTGCATTACTTCACAATGTCGTTTTCTCTGTCTCAAAAAAGGAAGGAACTGATATGTCTCAATTTTCTTCTTTGGTGACATTTTGTCCTTACACATGTTGAATTATTGTTCGCTGTTACGCTTTTTTTTTTGTAAATAAAGACGTTACATTCAAGAATAACGGTGTCTTAGTATACATATTATATACACTGTACTACATTCATGATGAATTGCAGAAGAGCGCGTTATCATATGGAAAAAAGACGTGGTGTTCAACTTTGATTGTGGCGCAAATGCTGTTCGTTTCATAAATATTGCATTCCATAGACGTTGCCGTATACAATCTAATATAGGGACTGGAAATTTGATTCCCTTTAACTTGGGTCGAAGGGTGTTTTTTTTTTTTCTGAAAAAGTGGACCTTTTATAATGAAACCTTTGTGTACCTAGATCAAATTGTACCCAGAATGGACCTTTTTCTGACAAAAAGGGCGGTTCTTTCGAACACCCCGAACCCCCCCCCACCACCACCCCCGGCGACGGGCCTGGACTAATAAGACAACTAACTGTTTATACATGTAAACGTTAATGGTGTTGCTTGTATGAGCGATGATTTAACATTGAACATCTATTCATATTTTTTTACCAAAAGAACACTATGCTGCTACAATCACTGACTACTCTCGTCCTGTCGATTCCCGTGTTTAGCATTCATTTTCCCTCTTTGACATTAAATTGAAAAGGTTTTGTTAGTCATGAAAATACAATAAGCAAAAGAAATCATGTTATGTAAGACAATATAAAAGAGATAACAGTTTTTCGTATTATACACAACAAAAACGCTGTAATCATCTTACTGTAATTATCTTACCACCAAAACGTCAGTTATCGCAATTATTCTGGAACCTGCGTTTGCCAGAAAATCCATTTTTTGCCAAGCTTAAAATGAACAGTTTTTATCCCTATTTATAAATGCGTTCATGAGCGACAACTTTAGATATCCGTGAATACCGCCGACAGAAAAGTTTTACTTTAATTCATGTTCATTAAAAATACACTCCATGGAATTTACCCTCCAAATCGGATTTTCACCGGAAAATAAGCAATTTTCTTGAACTCTGGAATCATCCATCTATCCCCTTTTTACTTGGATTCTACTTGGATTCGTGGTAATATTTCTTGAGGTTGATTTTATCTTTTGATGACTGACCAGTAATTACATGTACAACAGCAGGCTCTTCCTATACGCTCCAATATCAGTATCATTAATAGATAAGCCCCAGAAAAATATTTAAGGGGTTAAATTGATTTATGGTGCATGTTTAAGGTTTTATAAGACGCCGTGGAAGGCAAAATAAGCATTTGGGTGATTTTCAAACCTATGGGGTGTACCCTTAAACATATACTGGTAAAATGGGCCTAACAGCTAGATTTTACTCTTGTTTGTCTTGGGGATGTGTTTAAATCCAACTTGTGGGAATAATAATAATAATAATAATAATAATAATAATAATAATAATAATGTTTACTTTAGGTCAGTTGGGATTTTTTCACTCATTAAACCAAAGTCTAATATATTTCTTTCATTATAAATGGACGTAAAGATTTTAACATTTTCTCAGATTTCGATCTCGTAACTCATCCATTTTGTCGGGCCAAAAGTATCAGTTTACTCCTGAAGACTCGCCTATATTTCTTTCTCCTGTTTTAATTTTTAAACATCAGTTTACTACATGCATAACATTAAATCAATTTTCACATTCATTCTGCAGCTTATAGATATATAGGCGGCAGATTTCATATAGTCGCATATGTTCCCTAAAGGTATGCCTGCAGCACTGAGACATTTGGTGCACAGGGCCGCCTAAAGCAATACATCCATCTGAAACTCTTCACATTGGAATATGTATACTAGATCTATTAGAACAAGAGGAAGTCCATGTCACTTCTAATTAAACCGTCCTAACTACCCACAATGTATTCAGAAACCTATAGCGGTAGATATATTATGACCAAATCATAGACTGTATCAAATGCTTCCACAAAAACTTACTACGGCAGTAAAACGGATGGTGCCGCGTGGAATGCAGTCAATGACGACCTGCCTGAAGCTAAACCTCAAACAGCAGAACCCAGCACGACCCGCTGTAAATACTGCCATTAAAATATTAGAAAACACGTCGCAAATATTCACACACGAGCGCAGTAAACAGGTGTTCAGATAGTCCACCTTTCGACTGCTTCTGTCCTTAGTTCAATTTTCACAAAGTTTCCTAATCTGAACTCCCGATTTCCCGCGTCCAGAGGTCATAATGACCGTCATTTTCTCTCTCCGGACATTGGGAGTACTACTCGGTGCTGTGATATCACACACTAAGGCACAGAATACGGTAGAGGAACCATCAGCAGAGGTGAGTATAGTGTACTGGTGTAACACTATCGGATCCAGGATTTTGACAATGAGGGGTGGGGGAATGGAGGGCGTGGCCCAAGAGGAGGGAGGTAACACGTGGGGGTGGGGGTGGGTTGGGGGTGGCACAAGGATCAAAGATGTTTGCTTTGCCTTGCTCTGCAAATATAGATTAGTAGACTAGTGTAATCTTGTTTAAATATGTTAAGTACTGTAGTGCATAAACTGGGTCTTGGCTGGGGAAAAGAGATACCTCTGACGGTAAAGAGGGGAGGGGGTATAGCCTGGGCCCGCTATTGTTATTAAAATGACATTTAAAACGATAATGGTCCTTTGCCTTATTATAAGTACTGTGCCTGTATTACTCCAGTGCGTTATTTATTGTTTTATATATATCATATGATAATAAGATTGTCATCTCTCATATTTTTTAGTAAACTACAGTAGCAATAAGTTGTATTTGAAAAATAAGCATATTTCAACACTGGAATCCCATACATAGGAAGAGCGTATGTAGGGTATATCAAGATTGTCATAATGTATCTTTGCCGTGACATTTAATACAAATGCAATGGAAGGCGTCTGTTTTAAAGCGATATCTGTACATTAATATTTTCTTCTGTATTTTTGTGTTTCTCGGCCTTTATTTATTTATTAATTAGTTTATTTATCTTTTTATTTATCTTTATATATATTTATTTATTTATTTATTTATTTATTTTATGTGCAGGTGGTTCTCCCCTGGAATTATGAAAGATACTACAGCACGTCACCTAGCAGCCAGTCTGTTACCACGGCAACAGTTGCCACGACAACTGAATCTAACTCCCTTTGGTCATCAGATGCAGACTTTTGGGACCAGTATTCAGAATATTTCCAAAGTCTTAATGTTGCTGCATCTCCAGACGAGAATAGTGCAGAGGCACAATACTCCACGACGCCAGCTACTACACGTGCTGCTCCAACCACTACGCAGGCGCAGCATGACGAAGAACATGCGATAGAGGGCGACACATACTCTGACTACTGGACGATGTTTCAGCAGTTGTTTGCACCCGACCAATACAGCAGCCAACCGACCACGCCCATCACAACCGTTATGACCACTACAACAACAACACCGACACCAACTCCCACCGTGCCGACAACAGTAAAGTTATCAGTAAACGACCCGTATCAGGCAGGAGCAGGTCAAGCTTCAGATGACCCATATAACAACTACTGGTCATCATTTATGAAAGTCCTAAAGGAAATATACCAATGGCAGGCCACCAATTCTGTTCGAGCTGTTACAACATCGGATTCATATCAGCCGGGGAGCGTGGAAGAGCCGAGCACTGAGAACGGCCTGATCCAAACCGATGCAACACCGGCTGAAAATCAGGACATCGATTATGTCTCCCAAACTCCAGTCCCAGCCAGCTCTGTGGAATCAAAGAAAGCTGCTGTTCAGGGGTCAGCCCAAGTTGGTTCTCCGTCCCAAAGCAATTCAATAGTTTACCGAGAACAGCCACCAGCAACACCGGCTGAAAGTGATCCTGCTTCGGTGTATCAAGGAACCCTTACAGGAACACCAGATGAAATCCAGTCTGCTGGGTCAATTCAGGCATCTTCTGCAGAACACAGTTATCAGGGCGTTGAACCACCAGCGCCATCTGATGTGAGTTATCAAGGAAACGAGCCAGCAACCCTGGCGGAAAGTCAGCCCACTCAGCTGTACCAAGATTTGGAACCGGCGTCCCCGGATGAAGGTGCTCTAGTTACAAATAATCAAATACTCCATTCAGGGACTCCAGAAGAGGGCAGCACTATCACCAAGTTCCAGTCAGACATATCAGCCCTTACAGCGGCAGGCATGCCTGTGGCATCTCCAGATGAAGGCACTCCTGCCACAGTGACATACCGAGGAACTGAACCAGGTACGGTCTCTGAGAGTCAGACGGTGGAGGCCTACATAGCCGCCAACCCTGTCAACCCGCCTGTAAGCCAAACCCAGCATCATGGATACCGTCCTAATAACATGCACCGACCTCCAATACCCACTACTACCGCACAGCGACCCACCTCCGGGACAACCCCTAGTTATCCTATATACCACGAGCAGCAAGTGTCAGCGGGAGAAGCAGATACACACAATTCATACATTCCCCCCTCCCACAAGTCACAGGAGGGAAGCTATGCAACAAGTCAACACAATACTCAATCGATGTCCTACCAGCATCCCTCAGTGTCAACATATAGCACCGTAGCGACCACCACAACGACAACAGCGACGCCTATCGTGAACCTTTACCCTCGTGTTGCAGAACAAGAGCCAAATTACGCTGTCCCACAACAAGAAGCTACCCAGGGTTTGCCTTATGAGTGGATCTCCCCTTGGACGCTGTCAACCACTACCCCATTTCCGCCGACATATGGGACGACCTATTACCAGTCAACGCCGTCATCCACCTACTCTCAGCCTGTAGAGTCCACAACCCGTCCTGCGCCTCCTCCCGTTACCATGACTACCACGCCAGCTCCTAGTTATTGGGACAACAGCGGTCCTGATTTTGCCGGTTTACCCAATCATCCACCGACAAGCTTAAAAACACACGAAGAAGGCAGCGGGTACAGTACAAACGGTCAAAAACACAGGCCATATGTTTCTCCAGTAGTTCATGAAAATTCTGGTATTTATGCGCAGAGACCGTCCACAGAACCACCGATGAAGCTCCACGAGCCACGTTACGTCTATTACCCTAAGAGGCCAAGGTCCAGAAAGGAATTAGTGCGTGACCCTAGAACCGGCCTGCTTAATTCACCCCCTGAATATCGCCCTCGACCCAAACCTATTGTCATGACAACAACCATAGCTCCTCCGTTGTCAAGGAGACTGCCATATGGCGCCCCCTATGGACAAGCCCGGATGGATCCGGTGTCGGAGTACAGGGCGCAGAATCCTATAGGCAGAAACGCTGCTATGATGGGGATCCTGATGCCGGATGCGTATGAGCATTTCCATGGTAACAGCTTGGAGTATGGATCATATCAGGACGTGCGTCCAAGGCAGTATACAGGTGGGCATGACGGGCCAGACCATGCCTCGTGGGAAGTGGTGAACAACGTGGGGAAATGCAGACATATAGGTGAGTGTTTTGTTGTTTGCTGTTCGTATTGTTGCGCCACTCATGTGTATGCCTGGCATAAAGGTATGCCTGGTATATAGTGATTATGCCTAAAAGTCCCCTCTCTCTCTATCCCTACCCTGACCCTACGCTGTCTTTTAGTTTAAGCCCGGCCCAAGGTCACAGCCCCAGGGTGAAATGTTGCCTTCCTTTTTCCGAAATTCCAATAGGCTTGAATATTAAAGCTATAGAGGTTATGTTACCATTTCAGTGTCTATTGATGACTTCTCCCAATGTCATTTAGTCAATTTGCTCCCACATATTTCAATGTGATACAGGATGCTAACTCATTCAGAATTATGCACCCTATTCAAAATGTTCTACATGGACCTAATTTTTTAAAACTATTTTTATATTTTAAAAAATATCCAAAATTGATTCTTTATTCCGGTACAATGCAAGTTATAATACGTTTCCATTCCCTTAAGTATGTTATAACTCACTGGTTTTTATAGCCATGTTATCAATGTCAGTAGTACGTTGAGTACGTTTTATTTGCTTCTCTACACTATCATGTGTACATATCCTGTTGATATTTCAGCCGGAGCCTGCTACCTTCGAGACCCAGGTCTCTACCCACACCCTAATAGACGCTGTTTCATCCAGTGTGACTATGCAGGGGGTAGTCACGTGCAGGAATGTCCCCCGGGGACACTGTGGGGTGGCACCTCCACGAGACCCGCAGGGTACAACATGTGTACCGCCAAGGCAAGGGCTCACGGAGCTTATTGAAAACAATCTACTCGTATTTATTTAGTGACCTTGATCTTGACCTTGACCAACAAGTCGCTGAATCGTTTCTTTTCACAGGAACATAAATAAACAAATAAATTTTAATGTATCAATTAAGCAACGACACGACTGATATCCATTCGGGTTAAATAATGATCTCTCTGCCCCAGATGCCATCTGTCGGTNTACGTCTACTACCCCAAGAGGCCAAAGTCCAGAAAGGACCTTGTGCGTGACCCTAGAACCGGCCTGCTTAATTCACCTCCTGTGCTTCGTCCTCGACCCAAACCCGTCACCATCATGACAACAACCATAGCTCCTCCGTTGTCAAGGACACCGCCATATGGCGCCCCCTATGGACAAGCCCGGATGGATCTGGTGTCTGAGTACAGGGCGCAGAATCCTATAGGCAGAAACGCTGTTATGATAGGGATCCTTATGACGGATGCGTATGATCATTTCCATGGTAACAGCTTGGAGTATGGATCATATCAGGACGTGCGTCCAAGGCAGTATACAGGTGGGCATGACAGGCCAGACCATGCCTCGTGGGAAGTGGTGAACAACGTGGGGAAATGCAGACATATAGGTGAGTGTTTTGTTGTTTGCTGTTCGTATTGATGCTCCACTCATGTGTATGCCTGGTATAAAGGTATGTTATAGTGATTATTCATTAACACATGTGTGCCTCTACTATTGCCAATTAACCTCGGTGAGCTGCCTAAACGTCCCCTCCCTCTATCCCTACCCTGACCTTACGCTGTCTCTTAGTTTAGGCCCAGTCTCTTGGTATCAACCACAAGGTCACAGCCCAGGGAGAAAGGTGGCCTTCCTTTTTCCGAAATTCCAATGCTGGGCTTGAATAGTAAAGCTAGAGGTTATGTTACCATTTCAATGTCTTTTGATGACTTCTCCCAATGTTATTTAGTAAGTTTGCTCCAACATATTTCAATGTGATACAGGGTGCTAACTCATTCAGAATTATGCACCCTATTCAAAATGTTCCACATGGACCTATAAAAAAAAAAATATATATATATGGGCTTAATATATATATATATATATATATATATATATATATATATATATATATATATATATATATATATATATATATATATATTAAAAATATCCAACACTGATTCTTATTCCGGTACAATGTAAGTTTTGATAAGTTTTCATTCACTTAAGTATGATATGACTCATTGGTTTTTATAACCATGTTATCAATACCAGTAGTACGTTGAGCACGTTTTATGTGCTTCTCTACACTATCATATGTGCATATCCTGTTGATATTTCAGCCGGAGCCTGCTACCTGCGAGACCCAGGTCTTTACCCACACCCTAATAGACGCTGTTTTATCCAGTGTGACTATGCAGGGGGTAGTCACGTGCAGGAATGTACCCCGGGGACACTGTGGGGTGGCACCTCCACGAGACCCGCAGGGTACAACATGTGTACCGCCAAGGCAAGGGCTCACGGAACTTATTGAAAACAATTTACTCGTATATATTTAGTGACCTTGATCTTGACCTTGACCAACAAGTCGCTGAATCGTTTCTTTTCACAGGAACATAAATAAACAAATAAATTTTAATGTATCAATTAAGCAACGACACGACTGATATCCATTCGGGTTAAATAATGATCTCTCTGCCCCAGATGCCCTCTGTCGGTTAAATTAGATTTAAATGACGAGGAATTGTTGACATTGGTTGTTACTGTCAGGGGATGTTCCGTGTATTACTAGGAATTAGAAGAGGTTTAAGAGCGTCCCTGGTGTATTTTAATTTAAAAGTGGTCTTATATGGCTTATGTACAAGTCTTATATACTCAGTACTATGTAGTATTTATGGTGTTGTAATAAACGTGTACCGTATTTTGAACAAGGGGGATAAAAACCTGTAGATTGGCTATGTGTTCCTGCATCAATGTATTAAAACAGAAATATCAATTAGGAATCACAGAGGTTAAAAGACACAGTAGGGACAGTTGGAAAAAATAAGAAAGAATATGCGGTCGATTAAGCATGACATTGCGGTATGATTATGTCAGCAGCTTGCACATCTGATGGAATGCATTTGTATTTACATGTACAAGTACCTGCATGGTCTTTCTGGGTTACTCCTTTCATGGGAAGTGGAACAGTTACCTTCATGATCAAGTTAATTTAACGCTTATTTTTATTCGCTTGAATTTATCAAATGCGGACTAATTCAAAACGTCAAACGAGTTACACGGCTGTATGTCGAAAGAGCCATCCCCAGGCCCCCGTTTCACAAAAAAACTTAAGTCGGTTTCCCTGACTTAGGGCTTGGTTACCAACGTAATTAAGTCGTTACGTCACTAAGTCCCGTTTCATAAAGAATCTAAAAGGTCGCTTACGTCGTTTTTTTTCTTAGCTGTAAGTCGACGATGTCAAGCCTCCTCGGGAGGAGACTTAAGTCGGCAAGCTCAACTAAAACTCGGTAAATGAGAGCATAAACAACAAAAATTTGGAAAGAACATACCTCCTTCAAGATATTGTGTTATAACATCCTTGAATAGCACTGACATTTATGGAATATTAAAATAAAAAATAAAATTCCACTTTACCCAGCCGATCGCGTGTTTGTTTATGTTTTTGACCGCTAGACGTCCCTCAGTAGTGTTCCACGACAAGCTAATGTTTAACTGTTACTTTGAAGTTGTATCGAAGTTAAACTAATCAGTAAAGTTAAAAAACAAATTTTGTTTCTGTTTTGGCTGATTTTTATTGTTGATAAACGTTCGTTCTCGGCCGAAAGAGGCCATGAAACGTCATGTCTTGTGAAACTTTTGATATTTTACACCTCCTTTTCTTGAAGAGTTTCTCGTGCGCGTCGACTACGGTAAGCACGCTAAGCTAAGGCGTTAGATTCTTTGTGAAACACTCCTAGTCGACTGCAGCTAAGTCGACCTAGCTAGGCCACCCAGCTCGAGCTAGTCGACTACGGATTTAAGACTCTTTGTGAAACGGGGACCTGGTGCATTGATAGAATGCTAATGCACTCAGAAAATTACTGAGTGGCCACATCCCTGTATTAGTGCAAAAATTAGAAATCACACACAAGATACAGAATTTGCACTTTGTTTAAAATAAGAAGGAATGTAGGTTCATTTGACATGAGACTGTGACAGCCGTGCAAGCAGCACAACTACTGCAATGATGTACCTAACCAGTATCAAGCACTTTTTGTTGCTGGGACACCCAAGTCAGTTACTCATTCAGTGAAATCATTTTATCCAGTCAAAATGTTCAACGTGACACCCAAAGCATTTAGACTGTCATGACGTCCAGGCAACATCGACACCATTTGTAAGTGTCTACGTAAATATCCTGAGCTTGTCTTGTGTCATCTCCTTTTTTATTATTTATTTATTTATTTATTTATTATTATTATTATTATTATTATTATTATTATTAATACTGTCAATCAAGGCAATTTTTCTTTCCACTGAGTTCGCTCTGTAGAAGCATTAATATGGCTTAATGACCACTGAATGTTGTCAGTTTGACACCAATACATTAGACATGATTTTCATGTTTGTTCCTGTTTGAAATAAACAGAAGTCAGCGAGATACTGCTTTCGTCTTTACTACATCCCCAGTGTGGTTTTTAAGTTGGTTAACTAGTCAGTTCATCCTTTACAACCAACTTATGCACAAAGCGTTTGATGTGAAGTGTGTGGGATTATATTGTATTACATCATTGTTTCGATACAAAACAGGTCTGGGAATTGCGTCACTGAGTTTACATCAGAAGAGAAGTAAACATATCAGGGTCATCCGGGGCTGTAAACTTGTAGATACACATAAAGCGACATAGAAAAGAAATGGTGGAAAAATGAGTAGCAAAGACACATTCAGTAATGACACGAACTGATATATTGAGAAAAAACAAAAACAAAACAAAAAAAAAAAAAAAAAAAAAAAAAAAAAAAAAACAGGCATACATGTCTGTTAACATTGAAAAAAAATGCAACTAACTTTTTCATATTTCCAAATCGAATCATTCCTACCCAACCCTGCACATGGATTCTAAATTTTGTTTCGTGTCTAATTTAAGTATTTCGTTTTAAATTACGGCAAGTCATTTTGCCTTACGAGACAAGGCACTTTAATACAAGTTGCAGAATGTGTGAACAAAGAGAATAAGACTTTTTCTCAAAAGATATTTCGTACAGCCGCTGGTACCTTTAAGTGTATGACTATGACACGGTGACTAAAGGTATGGAGTATTGTTTGTTAACAAAACGGCGTGCGCTGATCCTGTTTATTCTTTATTGTAACGTATCAAGGTCGGCAAAGAATGCAGATATATCACGCTTGCCTTCATTTGAATCCTGGTGACGTAAATGCAGGCGAGTTGATCGCTAACGACAGAGACGCAGTGTGGCTTAATTTCACAGTGCAAGCGTCTCACAGTACAATCTTAGAGAGCACTTCACCGGTAAGTACTAACAGTAGGACAGTTTATATCACATACGAGTGTCTGCTTAAAACTAAATTGATTTCAGATTTTAAAACACCTTTTTTTTTAGAAGAAATGGTTAAATCCATCAATTTGAGAGGAAGTTGGTCGGTTGATCAGTTAGTCAAGCAGTTATTCAGTCTAGTCAGTGGCTGAGTATGTTTTTGTGCATGATCCCTGCACCGCCCCGTTTCACTGCTTGCCAATCTTAAAAATGTTTTCTTTGAAATCTACAGAAAGTGACGCGTATCGACTTACCTACCCATTTACCCGTCATAACAGTTCAAGAGACCACGTCCATAATGGCAAATAACATTATTCGCCCACTTGGACGTGTGGAAACCGACTGCGCTTTGATGCATGAGGAAAACGTCAATACAGTTGCTTTTACCACGTGGATCACCTCAAAAAGGTTGATAACAGATGGTGTCTGGAAACAGTGTCTCAGGCAACTGCAAGGAGACATTCCGCATCTTCGATTGGTCATAGTTTGGCACGAAGGGAAGAGGCACTTCAAGTATATGGACATCCCTCGTGTAAACATCGAGTTTGTTAAAGGGACGGCAGAAGATGACTGGGAAAGGGTCCACGAGGATATGATGCGCGTGAGCTTTGACACAGCCAATGGTCCGCTTTGGAGGGTGAAAGTAGTGCGCATGCCCAAACGAAATGG